AAATGAAATAATTATTCAAAGAGGGAAAGGGATAAGAAATGAATGCTAACGATGCATCTTTTTACATTTATTCCTTATTTATTATTAGGTTATRTATGTTCTAAATGTATTTATATAGAAATAATTTGTTCTACATCTTTTCTTCAATAAATAGACAGAAACTGGCCTTTTGGCTTGGACAGATACTTGAATTTTGGCGCCCCTGCTTTACATAGTCCAGACTGTTGCATTAACTGAGCTTCCAGTAGCACCGCAGCCTCTTACTGTACTGTTCTGCCATGGGCCCTTTTTAAACCCAATCATCTGCACTTTGCATCTCACGTCTGTGCTCATGCATGTTTTCATCRAGATCCATTTACTTCTTTGTCCAACCTCCCCCGATAAGCCAGCTGCCTCCTCTTTGCGACAATACACACCAATCAATCACCTTCCAAAACAGGAAGACCCCAGCTTGAACCCCTCAACCTTCTGAGAGCACTCTGTCATCAACGCTTGCATACCAAGCATAACGGGAGCTGCGCCCACCTCCTGCCAACACAACGGAACAGAGAAGCCCAGAAAACGGAGGGGTGGCAGAGTGGCTGGACKAAGTCTGCATGATCTTCTATTGTCCCGCTGAGAGGTGATGATGGGGTGTCTGTGCGTCAGCCTGCAGGCACGCCTTTCAAGGAATGTGTTTGAGGAATGGTCAGGGCTTGTTCGCCTGCACATGATGAATCATTCCACCTGAAATCCATTCACCGCACTGGAAAGTGGACAATGGGCGACGGAATAGAAGAAAAAAAAGAGCTGGGGAGGAGATTAAGAAGAGAGCTGGACTCTCTGTGGAGGATAGATTCGCAGAAGGCGGGGGATTCTGCAGGGGTAAGGGTAGGATTTTATGTTCTTGAGTGTAACAAGAACGGGGCACAAATACTATAAAGTCTCATTTTAAACATTTACAGTTGAAAAATAATTGTTTTTTATGTTAAAACAACTAACAATAGAATGCAAAGCTGTCTCATGAGAGAATACCTTTATTTGGAACAAATAAAACGGAATTTGGAAAAACATAAAACAGATTTCATGGGACACTACAAAGGGGATTCCAGACTGACCCGATGAGCAAACAGAACGTTGTACAGTTCGGGTCTCTTTAAGGGCCTCCCAAACAGCAGAGAGACGTCATTTCAAAATCTGGCATCTGGTTCCCATCATCCTCAGCATTTGCCTGTGCAACATATACAGCCATGGGAACTTAGATCACATCTGTGGTATGCACTTCCTCTGCAGCACGTGGTCATCACGTGGACGTGACAAATCCACAGGGGGTCACACACGGGTGATGAGCTGAACCAATTGCAATGGATTAAAATAGGAATGAACTCATTTATTTACAGTTTTTTTTAAGTTTCCAACAGCTTTCTTTTCAGGAAGAAATGTTTAGGACTCTTGGTTTCACTAAGAAGAGACTAAACAAACATACCCGCAAAAAGAACCAATGTGTGTGGCCCAGCGTGAATTCAGCTCTGACAGCAGGAGAGCAACTTGAGTTGCTTTAAACACAACGAAACTTATTTTCCAGCGACGGTACGCAAGCATATGGTGGTGAAATGCAATGCGCATAAAATACAACAATGTGCAAGAAATAAAACGTTTGTGGTACAGGAACCTTTGAAATAGGAACTCCACCCATGCCCACCATGCATCCTGTTCTTTCGTTCACGTATCATAATCTTTTGGACATCACTTTCTTTGTCCCCCCCCCTCCCCCATTACCCTGCAGGACACAAAGCCAGGAAGGAAGTCCAGAGGGCCAGAGAGAAGAGAATGGCTGCTGAACTGAGCAGGTCAGCCTGAGGAAACCGTCGTCGATTTCCTGTTAACCTCTGCGGGGACGTGGCCAAGAGAGCCAAGATGACAAACCATATCATGATCGTGAAAAGTTAGATAACTTCCCCCTCCAGTCGGGAATTTCCACCTCAGTGTTTTTAAATTACTAAAATACTCACCTGAATTGTGGCTGTTCAACTGAGTTCTAGCAACAACAACAAGAACAGGCAACTTCAGTCCAGTAGGCATTGATACATTTGGCAATGTGTTGTTCAGTGTAGACCAAATTTCACAAAGAATTGGCAAATTAGACTATATTCTTAAGAGTTGTAAAGAGGACATACAGCATCATGCTTTCCTTTTCACATTTAAATCATTCAGATGGGATCTATATAAAGTGGAACTGCAATACTTTGGTCTGAATTCCTTGTTATTGTAGCTCCACAGGCCCCTCTTTACACCTTTTTGAACCAGCCAGACTGGCCTGGCTTCAAACCAAGGTTTGCACTACCCCTTATGGCCCAAATCCACCACGATTTCTGGAATCCCAAGACCTGGGATTCTGTGTGGGTTGGCCAGATGAGATTAACTTTACGTGAATCGTTTGCAACGACTAACGTTTTTTTCACACACGACTAGGGCTGCCACAAACAATTATTTTTATAATCGATTAATCACCGATTATTTTTTCGATTAGTCGACTAATCGGATCATACGTTAATTGAATATAAAACATAGAGCTTATCGCGCCAGAATGCAGCTGCTTTTATGGTTAGATTTAAGCTATATGCTAACTAAAAATAATTGCTGTGGAAGACAAGTTCTGCTCTGCAGATATTGCGCAGGTTTCTCTTTCATTTTCTTAAAATGATCCCACACTTTTGAGCTCCATTGTCAGGTAGCCATGATACCAGAGCCTGTCTGTATAATGTCTTGTGACGTCCACGGCCTACCCCAGTTACCACTACTGTGCATGTG